AAGGTTGTGGGCCCTCTAGAGGTCACAATTTTTATCGGATTTTGATCAAACTTAAAACATATCTTTATATCGAAAAGATCTCTGTCCCTTTTCATATGTGCACATTTCAGGCCATAACTTTCTGGATTATTGCCCCTGATTGTACAAAAATCACGTTTGTTTTTAGCTTGTTCTCTTTCCATCTCTTGCAAAATGTGGGCGTATCCTGCCTGGCAGCCGCTGGTATAATGCTGCAATCATTATCTGGGAACAATCTGGCAATGTTAGGAACGGAGGGGTGATTTTGCCCAGATAATGGCGTTTCGTTTTCTAATTGGCAGGTTGCAACTAAATTAAAACCAAAGTCCACTGGTGTGACAGTAATGAAATGAAATAGTGGCTGGCGTCCCATTTCGCTGCACCATTCAGACTAACAAATACGGACAGTGTGTTATGAAAAGATTTTGTCCTGGCGCTACGGCGTAGTTTTATTTGGAGTTACACCCGCCCCCCTTCCCTACAACCCCGATGGTCTCACATTGGCCTAGGTAGTGTCAATGTTCTTTTTTTTCTTCTGATTTTCCAAATATATATATTTTAAAATCATTTTCATGTCAATTTTGTTTTTATTTATTTGCTAAATAATCAATTTGACACCTTTTTCAGATACTTCCACTCTTTTGATACCCACAACTCGGATTTTTCCTATCAACATGATAATTTTTCGATCTTGATAAAGTATAAAGTTTACTGGGAATGCATCCTGACCATTAAAGAATTAAAGAAATACTGAAGAACTGGATAGAAACCAATTGAACGAGAATCATTTATTTAAATCTATGTGTAATCCTAGTAACTGTCAATGTAAACGCATAATATTTAATAAGTTATGAGCAGCTATTTTACAAAACAAAAAGCCCAAAACATGTGGGCCAAACTTTGGTATATCAATGTTAAGAGATTTTGGAGTGATAACTTGTGCTAATTCATTGATCTTTTGTGGAATTCGGTTTTTAAAGGCTCAATACCACTCTTGTTGTAACTGAATAATATGTCCCAATCTTTATTCTGGTCAACAAATTGTAATATTATACAATATTCCAATTAATTGATGACACAAATTTCATCTTAACACACCTCATTTGAAAAAAAAATGGAAAAATTCAACTAAATGATTTGAAAAGCCTGACTTAAAGCTTTTCAAATGTGACTTGGATTTTAAAATATTTTTGAACCCTCTGGACAAGTAAAATAGGATTTAATGGATAATTACACAACAGGTAAGACAGTAACCCATCTAGTACTTAAAATAAGGCTATTTTTTATTTCCCTTTAAAGATTTAAATATTTTAGATTTTCTCGGGATATCAGCTTTATATTAAAGATGCCTTCCTGCGAACAAACTGTGTGATTTGATGATATATTTGGACTGACAACATATTCAAACTAATTTATCCATCAAAAATTTGCTTCAAATCCCTCTGAAACATTTTAATCGGAAGGAAAGTACCCCAATCTATTTTAAGTAATCGCGTGTCACGTGACGTGACTTGGAGAGAATCCATTTTCGTGGGAAGGTATCTTTCAAGTCTTATGTGATACTTTTATTTATATCTGTGCTTTTAATTAAACAATGCTGCAGTATTTTAAATTTAAAGTTGCTGACCGTCATTTGCACATTTCAACCAAAAATAATATGTCGCCGCTTAAATACACGGTAACATGTACTCAATTTGATCATTCTTAAACCTAACCTACAATCTCGTCAAAAATCACGTGCCCTAACTTTATTTACATCTCAACGACCATTACAAAAATTGAGCTGGTCTTAACAAGAAGAGTTAGCCTATCTTATAGATCAGCTGGCCTTAACAAGTAGATATAGCCTATCTTATAGATCAGCTGGCCTTAACAAGTAGATATAGCCTATCTTATAGATCAGCTGGCCTTAACAAGTAGATATAGGCTATCTTATAGATCAGCTGATATGGATGTCGAATGTTGACAATTTTCACAATACCAAATGACGATCAGAGACCTTACTTTTTACACTGTTCTTTTTTTCTTTTTTTTTTGGGGGGGGGGGGGGTATCTCGTAAAATCAAATGTTTCCCAGGCCATTGAAGGAGTTATAATACGCCTGCAGCATTATTGAATTATTGTGCCTAGAAAAAAAAACAATTATGCATATGTGTGTGGGTTTTTTTTGTTTTTTGTTGTTTTTTTTAAATGCTCAATTTCAAAATCCAGCCATTATTGATTCAATCTGATTAAAACACAGATCCTTTTTCGTTTCGTTTTTTAAAGTTCAACATTGCGTTTTACTTGTCTTGACTACACTAGGATCTGGAAGAGTTGTTATTTTACCGGTGTTTTGGGTGAAGTGAGGGATACGCGAATGAAACAGTCTGTTAGGGTGACTTCTTGGCGTGCGAGCACGGAACTGTGGGTAAATCACTAGAAACGCCAATGTTGATCGATTAATCAATGTCTGACGTCATAGGGTCAAAAGCCGCTCGTACGTTCCCTGACATGACCTTCGAGTACAACTTGTCAGTTCTTCATGTAAGTGTAGGCCATCGAAAGTATAAAAAAAAACGAAACAAAATATAGATCTGTATTTTAATTAAATTGTTATTGATCCATTAAAAAAATTAAAATTATTTTATGCACAACAACAAATTTTCGAGAGGCTCAAACTTCTTGTTTTCACTCGCTTTTGTAGTTCCAAATGTTGAAATCAATGAGAGATTTCTGTTTTTAGAAATTTCTCTAAAATGGCTTATTATGACGAAACAAACACATCATGGGTTTGTTTTAGGGGCTTTTATGATGAAACAAATTCATAATTTCTCGAATTATTCTTCTATTCGGACATTTGAAATTTTTCTGAAGAGATTTCAATGCTCGACATAAAATTTGCTGAGTAGAGGTAGGTAAAGTTTTTGCCTCATGAAAAGAAAGTTTATAGTGTTTGGGGTTTTTTTGTTTAGGTATATTTTTTTAAAATAAAAGAGGGATAATGAATTTGATAAGTTTATCTTGTTTACTTGTTTAAAGCATATTTATATCCTTGTGTGTGGGTTACTATATAATAAACTATAATATTTATGTGTGTGTTTGTTTTTTTGGGGTTTTTTTAATTCGGAATCGGTTATTGCCTGGATTGTGGAAAGCCATAAACCGAGTGAAAGGCGGATCGGGGTGGGGGGGGGGGGGGTCTTAAAGAAACCTTGTGGGTTAAGGTGACAAATCCCTTGGACGATGCTAATGCTAGAGATGAACCAAACCGATCTATTACAAAGTTACGAGGAAAACATTCCTGGAGACTTGGTTATTACCCGAGTGACAACGCCTTCCTTGTATTTATAGCTATGGTGACAATGCCTACATTCAATAACCCTTTGACCCACTTGATAGCTTACAACGATTGCCATACCCCCAACTTGTACTTTTTTATGATTCCCTCCGTGCCCTCGGACAGGTTGCAGTGAAGAATACGTGGTATGATGAGAAATCAAAACTAGCTTGATTCACGTTACCCGTGCCCCACTCATAGACTATTTTTTCAACTTCACAATTGCAGAACATACAGACCTACATATTACTAAATCAACGACCTCGAAATTTACAATATCCAGCTTGAGTTAAAGCAAGATCAGACCTTCTGTTGAATATGATAGACATGGGGCCTTATTCACTAAAAGAATTTAAGAATACAGTATTTGCATTGGTCAAGAACTATCAGACACTATCCTTGTCTGGCTCTCCTCCCTGCACCGCAGAAAAGGTGAAACAGGAAAGAAATCCCGAGGAGCTATCTCGGCCAACACCGGAAGCGAACCCCGAGACCTCCTGGTTAGAGAGCCAGTGTCTTACTCAATGAGCCACCGTGGCTTGAACAGGGGAGAATTATCAGTGTTCACAGTAGAAAAGCGATTACTCTTACAACAACAAAAATCAACAAATTTTAAGGCATTTAAATGACCTAAAATAATTTACCATATAAGGAATTTTGAAAAGTTGCAAAGTTCAAGTGAACCCTCCACGATCAGCTTGATGAACTAATAAGAAGTAGGTCTAGATAAAGCACAAGATTTCTTCCACTTAGTTTAGAACCAATTGAACTTCTGTACGTGAGGACTGCGCTATCTGGACTGCTTGGAATTCTCTACATAAAGATTCGCCCTCTTTATATCCTGGACGGCCTAGTGTGTTGCACTTCTAGCGTTATCTGGCCGTTCACCTTGCGATCGTGGTTTCTAGCGTATGTGGAATCTTCTCAATCTCATGAGTTTACTCTGAATACTTCGGTTTCCTCCCAAAGAAAAGACCCTTGCACCTGTTCTACGATAACAAGCCAACAGTGAGGCTGGTGTCCCCCTCCGAAATCCCCAAATAAATAGATGACACATATTAATCGCAAATCTATTTTTTTCAAAAGTATCGAGCAATCAAACTGATTATCAACTATACACTAGCTCGATATGTTAATCATTGAACTCATATCTACATAAATTTTAAACATTCTACCGCAATTAGAAGCAGAGTTGTTATGTTCCAAAGTTTTGACCAATCAAAATGCTTATTGCTCCTTAGCCTAAGCAGACAATTCCCATTATCGAACTTCGTCAAGGTATTGATGTAATGAAGCTATACACCAAGTTTCATCAATCTCACTTAATCGGAAATAAAGTTATAGTGTCCCAAAGCATCAACCAATCAAATTGCTTATCTCTGCTTACCCTGCGCAGAAAATGCTCATCTTCAAACTCCATCAAGGCATTGACCTAATAAACACCTACACCAAGTTTGAACATTCTAGGTCAATTAGAAGGAGAGTTATTGTGTCCCAAAAAGTGTGACGGACAGACATGAACGGACGGACAGACAGACATTTGGAATAAAATCTGTTGAAACCGATAGATTCTTATCGTGTTCACACAGTTTACGGCAAATGAAGACAAATTTTCGGCAAAGGGGGGAATAACCCCAATACTTCAAGACAAATATGAAAAAGATCCATTAAAAACTAGTCTTTATTGCGTTCACAAGGTACAGAAGGTTTTTCGAGCATTACTCCTGAACGGAAAATCGAAGGATGCTTAATATCGATAGGGTCCATCCTCTCATTGCCTAAGTTCACATTAATATTTTATCTGCAAGGGATTCCTCAATGACATTCACAGAATTAAAATGTAAAAATTTGATTTGGCATTGATAATATCATTGTGACATCAAAATCTCTTTTTAAAAGTGGCTCCAAATCTGAAATTGTTCAGGCATAATTTGCAATGCGATTTTAACGAGACACACTAGTGTACTCAAGTACCACAGTTCCCCAAAAAGCAGGTGTTATAAATAAAGTGATTGTATCCATAACACAAAAAAAATTTGCAAATCAAATTAATATTTCATGTTTTATATTTATGGTACCCTATTCTGAATTCATCTGTCTTTACCACTTAACGCAGAAAAAATATTCTAGAATTAAATTAACAATCACATTTGCTAATTAAAATGACTCTCAAAAAGTCCTAAAACTGTTCTCATGATAACTGTTCTCATAATAGCTGCTCATCATCCATAATAACTGCTCATCATCTAAAACTATTCTCATAATAGCTGCTCATCATCCATAATAACTGCTCATCATCTAAAACTATTCTCATAATAGTTGCTCATCATCCAAAACTATTCTCATAATAGCTGCTCATCATCCAAAACTTTTATCATAATAACTGCTCATCATGCATAATAACTGCTCATCATGCATAATGACTGCTCATCACGTAAAACTTTTATCATAATAACTGCTCATCATGCATAATGACTGCTCATCACGTAAAACTTTTATCATAATAACTGCTCATAATCCATAATATACTAACTGCTCATCATCTAAAACTGTTCTCATAATAACTGCTCATTTTCCATAATATAATAACTGCTCATCATCTAAAACTTTTATCATAATAACTGCTCATTATCTAAAAAATCTAGATTTAAATAGGGAAAGTTGACTTGTTGTTCTATCCACTTTCCTAAACTGAGAATAGATTGTTCGTGTAGATGTGGACCTAGTATCTGTAATCCTATTGGTAAACAATCTCTAGACAAACCCGCAGGTACTGTTAATGCAGGAATACCTGAAAGAAACAAAAATGAAATGAAATGGGGTTTAACGTTCTACTGTTCTGCTCCGAACTGGGCTAATGAAGACGGGCATAAGCCACACAGTGTGCTATGAGGGAAATTTTGCCCGGACAGTGGCACAACTGCCTACTTTTATATCGAATTTAAACTGTCAAGGGATCTTTTACGTGCATGCCAATGTGTACACGGGACCTCGGTTTTTCGTCCCACCCGAACGACTAGACAGCTGTCCTTGTCAGGCCCTCCGTCCTGTATCACTGACAAGGGAGAACCACGGCGGAAAATCTGGATGAACTTTCTCGGCCACTGCAGGGATTGAACACCCGACCTCCAGGCTATAGCGGGCCAGCGTCTTACCCACTTAGCCACCGTGATACCCCTGACGATAAATAATTGGATGGGCCGACATCTTTTTATTTTGAAGATGGTGGGTCGGTCCTGTGAGCCGACTTTGTTTGTGGCATGGATATTTTGTTCATGGTTCTATCAAAATGACTGTAGAAGACACATACGGAACTTCGAAATTTAAGGCATTTTGGGTGGGGTAGTGTGTGTGTTTTGTTAATATTTATTGGGCCCACAAGTTAATGTTAAGACCTACAACTTTCATGAATGGCGTCTACCAGCAGGTCCTGTTGGCTTGCAACTTTTCCTGTCGAATTTTAAACACTGTGAATGTTCCTTTTTCATAAGTCTGACTGGTGCTTTTTTTTTTTAACCCCTTTTCGCTTCTAGCCATGAGATCTATTCCTTACCACTCAACCACGCACACACACTTCCGAGTACTTACCTACTAAATTAGAGGGTTGGGTATATACATCGAATTCAATGGAGCGTGACTGATTATCAGCCTTCGTAAAGTCCTCATATGTTACGGCTGGACCAATGGTGGTCGGCGTTAGAAGTAAATCAACACCAGAAGAAAAAACTCGGTTAAAATCGTCACTGATTAGTCGTCTGACTTTCTGAGCTTTGATAAAATAACGTTCATAATTCCTGAAATTATATAAAATGAGATGAAATGAAATGAAATAGGGGTTTATCGATATGACCAGCTGAACCACAAGATGTAGTTCATTGTTCAGTCCTCCATTCGAGAAAAGGCGATAAAGTAAGGGAATTTTAACGTGCTTCCAATGGTATAGACCGGACCATCCTAGAAAGGGAAATCCTGTAAGGGTATCAATAACGTGCTGCCAATCGTATAGACCGGACCATCCTAGAAAGGGAAATCCAGTAAGGGAATAATTAACGTGCTTCCAATGGTATAGATCGGACCATCCTAGAAAGGGAAATCCTGTAAGGGAATCAATAACCTGCTGCGAATCGTATAGACCGGACCATCCTAGAAAGGGAAATCCAGTAAGGGAATTATTAACGTGCTTCCAATGGTATAGACAGGACCATCCTAGAAAGGGAAATCCAGTAAGGGAATTATTAACGTGCTTCTAATGGTATAGACCATCCTAGAAAGGGAAATCCAGTAAAGGGAATTGTTAACGTGCTTCCAATGGTATAGACCGGACCATCCTAGAAAGGGAAATCCTGTAAGGGGATTGTTAACGTGCTTCCAATGATATAGACAGGACCATCCTAGAAAGGAAAATCCAGTAAGGGAAATATTAACGTGCTTCCAATGATATAGACAGGACCATCCTAGAAAGGGAAATCCAGTAAAGGGAATTATTAACGTGCTTCTAATGGTATATACAGGACCATCCTAGAAAGGGAAATCCAGTAAAGAGAATTATTAACGTGCTTCTAATGGTATAGACCGGACCATCCTAGAAAGGGAAATCCAGTAAGTGAATTATTAACGTGCTTCTAATGGTATAGACCGGACCATCCTAGAAAGGGAAATCCAGTAAGGGAATTATTAACGTGCTTCTAATGGTATAGACCGGACCATCCTAAAAAGGGAAATCCAGTAAGGGAATTATTAACGTGCTTCCAATGGTATAGACCGGACCATCCTAGAAAGGGAAATCCAGTAAAGAGAATTGTTAACGTGCTTCTAATGGTATAGACAGGACCATCCTAGAAAGGGAAATCAAGCTGGGAAATCTGGAGGTACTTTCTCCGCCAACACCCCAGGAACAAGCCCAGGACCTTACTCACTGAGCCCCTGTGACTTCACGGTGACAAGCTTCAAGGTTTTATCTCCCCTACCTACAGATCTACTTACTCTTTTAAAAGGTAATAATTTCCAGCCATTATTCTACTACGAACAACATCGTTAAAACCATGATGCCTCGTGCCAGCAAACATCTCTTCTGTAGACACATCATTGTTGTCACGGTAACCTGGAAAACGTTAAATGGCGTTTGTTATTTTGTTGATTGACAAAGTAAAATACTTACTCTTTGAGACACTTCTGATCAGGGCTCGATATTAATGGTTGCCCAGAGGAACAAACACTTATTTTCAGACAAGTTGTTTTCTTTCATGCCACTCCATGGGTAATACACATACTCAAATTATCTACCCTTGATATCGTGCTATTTTTATCGACCAATCAAAAAAATCGTTAAATACACAAGAACTGACATAAAAACATCTGTCCCATCAAAAAGATGTTTTAGGACATCTTTTTGTGTGCATGTCACTTCTGTTATACTAAATTTCTTGCAAACTTTCTCACAATCAAGAGAACAAGCCGCCATATTGTTGTGAATATAGAATCAGATTTGATCAAGGGCAGTTAATTTGAATATGTGAATGATGAATCCAGGGGTTAGTGGAGTGGAATAGAATGAGAACACTGGGGATACCGAGGATGGCCAACCATATATATACATAGGACCTCAGTTATCTGTTCCATCTACCAACTGAATGCTTTTCTTGCCCTGTACCACTGACCAGTAGAAACCAAGCTGAACAAGCGGTTGCCAGGCAAGACACGCCCACATTTTGCACGAGATGCTCAGAGAACAAACTAAAAAAAAGCAATTTTTCAGACAATCAGCGGCCATTCACTAGTGAGTTACAGTCCCATATGCGCAAATAATGAAAGGGACCTAGGTCTTTGGGATATAAATATATATTTTTTAAGTTTCATCAAAATTGGATCAAAACTGTGACCACTAGAGGGTGCACAACCTTGGTATTACATACTTTTACACGGATGGACAGGGGTGACAACATATACGTCCACATGAAAACTAGCACAGGCATCGAAGCTGGGACCAGTGCCATGCCACAGGCTTTAAAAGAAGTTTATTGAAAGTGCAACAGTATTTGAATCTATATATCTAAATGGGAAAAACATTAAAAATTTTATGAGAATTTCTGAAGAAACTTACCAAATTCGATTCCATCATATCTGGCCATATTGGACGCTACTTCGCAACAACATAAAACAGAGTACACTAATATAGAATACTGGGTATGAGGTAACGATACAGATGTCACTTTCGCTCCAGCATCATCTAACATGTCTGCTACTTGCTGCCATGTCTCTGTGACATCTTTTGTTGTTCCTGGAGCAAGATATTCCTGAAATACAGAGTAAATAGCAGTTTGACATCAAGGATGTTCCAAAGGGCTAATGAAGACAAGCATATGTCATACAGTGTGTTATGAAGACAATTTTGCCAGGACAGTGGCACTACGGCCTACTCCTATTTCGAACTCCAACTGTGAAGGATGTTTTTACGAGCATACCAATGTGCACACGGGCCCTTGGTTTTTCGTCCCATCTGAATGACTATATTTTGTTCCTTGCTCTCTGTCCTGCACCATCAACAAGGCAGAACCACACAGGAAAAAGAGAAATATACATATTTGTGTACTACTTATAATCTGTGGAAGATCCACAAGTATTAATGATTACCTGTGATAGAGCTAATCAGTATTAATTATTACCTGAGTGGTTGACCTATATAAGTATTAATCATTACCTGTGGCAGACCTATATCATTATTACCCATGGTAGACCTATATTAATTATTACCTGTGATAGAGCTAATTAGTATTAATTATTACCCGAGTGGTAGACCTATATAAATATTAATTATTACCTGTGGTAGACCTATATAATTATTACTTGTGGTAGACCTATATAAGTATTAATTATTGCCCATGATAGACCTATATATGTATTATTACCTGTGGTAGACCTATATAAGTATTATTTTTATCTGTAGTAGACATATATAATTATTACTTGTGGTAGACCTATATAAGTATTAATTATTACCCTTGATAGACCTATATATGTTATTACCTGTGGTAGACCTATATAAATATGAATTATTGCCCGTGGTAGACCTATATAAGTATGAATTATTACCTGTGGTAGACCTATGTAAGTATTAATTATTACCTGTGGTATTCCTATATGTAAATGTTTTACATCAGGTCTATCTGGTAGATTTATAGGTTTATGAGGACCAGGTAACGTTGTAGAATCTTTCATATCAAAACCTGACACACCATCTAAATATATAAATAAACAGAAATGAAATGTAATGTGGTTTAACTTCCTACTTTTCTGCACCGCCTGGGTTAATGAAGACAAGCATGCAGTGTGCAATGAAGGAAATTGTGTCTGGACAGTAGCATTACGGCTTACTCTTATATCGAATATCAAATGTCATAGGTTCTTTTACATGTACTCAAATGTGTACACAGGACCTTGATTTTTTATCCCATCCGGACGACTAGACAGCTGTCAAAAAAACACTACTTGCAAGGGGAAATCCCCGGAAAATCCTGAGGAACTTTCTCAGCCAACTCCGAGAGTTTTCTATGATTACGTGTGCAATGCTATGGAGGAGAATTTTGCCCAACTGTACTTAAAGATGGGTTCCCGCGTACAAACTGGGCGATTTAATGGTATATATGGACTAAAAGCATATTCAAACTAATTAATTTGTCATAATTATGCTTCAAATCCTTCTCAAACATTGTAATTGCCAAGGAATGTCCTGCTATAAAATTCGATCAAAGCAGGTCATGTTTACGTCACGTCCTGGAAATCAGAGGAGAATTCATTGCATAAATAAGACGATGTTGTCTTTAATCGCTTACTATTTATTACAAATATTGAATCCTAATTAAATTCTCGGATTATCCACTACCCGCGTCTTTTTCTGTCATTTTTTATCTCAGAAAGTGTTGTACGTCTAACTCTTCATAAAGTTTATCAACTTGTACATCAAGCGCTCAATGTTTGCGTGTGACCTTTGACATTATGCGTGCAGAAATTCTTAATCGTCAGGCTGTTGATTAGGTTAACCCTTACATTTTTTTTCTGTATACGCTCAATGAGTGTTTTTCGGGGAATCCAATATTTTTCTAGTAAGGTTGGATATCTCTACTTTTCATATATACCAAAATTGCCATACTTTTATTGGAAATAACCACCCGATAAATACTTTTCTGGGAACACATCTTTAAGACATTACTCTGTAATCAAAACATGCTTCAGTTTTTGCCTTGATGCATACAGAAAGGATTCAATCTCTGCCAAAAATCGACTGATGAGAGAGAAATAGGCTTTAACATCCACTCAACACAAACTAGGTCATTTTGGGACTAACATATGGTTCAATTTTTTTTCAATAATTTGCATGTGCGTAGGGATCTTTAGCAGTGGGAGGAAACCGGAGGACCCGACGAAAACCCACGAGGTTGGACAGTGGACCCTACTTGGGCAAAATATAACAAAGACTGATAACTTACTAAGTATGACAGCAACATCGTCTGTTGTTTTACCCATAATTCCTGGTACATCCATAGAATTAACCAATGGTATCAACCCATGACGAGACAGACGACCATACGTTGGTTTCAATCCAGCCACACCACAAAATGCTGCTGGGATACGAGTAGAGCCACCTGTATCAGAGCCAAATGCACTACGGAATAGAAACATTTATAAATACTAAACATATGAGAGAGAGAGAGAGAGAGAGAGAGAGAGAGAGAGATGGGGTTTAAAGTCCACTCCACACAAACTAGGTCATTTCGGGACTAACATATGGATCAATTTTTTTTCAACAATTCGCTTGCGTGCAGGGTCTTTAGCAGTGGGAGGAAACCGGTGGACCCGGAGAAAACCCAGGAGGTTGGACAGGCGACCCTACTTTTTGTCACGTACAACCAGAGAATCAAAACCACGTCAGTTGACTCAATGACTGACCTTATGGCACAACACGCACACGCTAACCATTCGCACACGCTAACCATTCAGCCACCCTTCTTCCCCCCCCCCCCCCTAAAAATATAAACAGGCTGATGAAGATGGGCATACTCCAGTCAGCAACCTATGAGGGAAATGTTGTTGTTTGGACAATGGTGCTGCAGCCTACTCTATTTCAGATTCCTACTGTCAAGGGGGGGGGGGGGGTCGGAATGGTTAGCATGTGCGTGCTGTATCATAATGTCTGTCATTGAGTCAACTGCCACGGTTTTGATTCCCAGGTTATATACGTGACAAGGAGTAGGATCGCTTGTCCGATCTTGTGGGTTTTCTTCTTCTTCTCCAGATTCCTCCCACTGCTAAAGAACCCTACGCGCAAGTGAATTACTGAAATAAAATAGAACCATAGTTTAGTCCCAAAACGACCTAGTTTGTGTCGAGTGGACCTTAAACCCCATCTCTCTCTCTCTCCTGTCAAGGAGGGTTTGTTTAGGTGCACACCAACATATAGATAGCACCTTGTTTTTTCATCCCATCTGAAAAACTAGACACTGTTCCTTGCCAGGCCCTCTATCATGCTCCACTGACAACAGGAAACCAACACTGAAAAATCCTGACATACTTTTTTGGTCAACACATGGATTGAATCCTGGATTAAAGCGTTGGTTATTTATTTGAAAGTATTTACTTAAAACAATCTATTGTCAGGTTTGGTAAATTACAGTAAAACCTACCCAAAACATGCACCTGTTGCTATGGCAGCAGCACTACCACCAGAACTTCCACCAGTAATAAACCAATCATTGTAGTTATTGTCAGTCACATGACTCTCACTTCTCTCTGATTGGTTAGATTTCTTATTTGATTTTTTAAATTTGTATCTCCAAGGATTTCGAACTGGACCAGCAGCACTGTCCACACTCCCCGCTCTAAAAAAAAAAATTCAAATCAAAATCATAGGATAAAATTATGTTATGCAGTTGTAATAAGTAGGTTGCCATTCTTGCCTGCCAGATAATTTTACATAAATGAAATCCCACTGGCATTGTTTCGATTCCCCACTTAAACGTAACAAAGAGTAGGGTCACTTGTTCATACTGATGGGTTTTTTCTGGGTCCTTAGGTTTCCTCCCACTGCTAAAGATCCCTATGCGCAAACAAATTAGTGAAATAAAATTGAACCATATGTTAGTCCCGAAATGACCTAGTTTGTGTTGAGTTGAAGTTAAACCCCATTTTGCTCTCCCTCCCTCCAACCGGGTTACTGGCAGACCTTATGAAACAGTGCGCATGTGCCAACTATTCAGCCATCCAACCCCCCCCTGTGTTATTACCAATTTTAATATACATGTTCTTCCTATTGACATCATCATGGGGAATCCCCTTTTGTTCACTCTATAGAAAAAAAGAAAATAACTTGTCATTTGACAAGATAACAAATGCAAAAAGGGGAGCAACTCTTGTTTTGGGTCTTTTATTTAAAGGCAAACCAATGGTTGAAATGAAATGAAATGAAATGAAATGGGGTTTAACGTCCTACTGTTCTGCTCCTAAACTGGGCTAATGAAGACGGGCATACACCATACAGTGTGCTATGATGGAAATTTTGCCCGGGCAGCGGCACTATCGCCTACTCTTATATCGAATTCCAACTGCCAAGGGATCTTTTACGTGCATTCCAATGTATACACGGGACCTCGGTTTTTCGTCCCATCCGAAGGACTAGACAGCTCTCCTTGTCAGGCCCTCCGTCCTGCATCACTGACAAGGGTGAACCACGCCGGAAAATCTGGATGAACTTTCTCAGCCAATGCAGGGATCGATCCAATGGTTGAATGAATGGATGAAATAGTTTTAACTTCCTATATGAAGACACAGATGTACCATACAGTGTGCACACCAACAAATACATGGATAGAACTCATTTCTTTTTTTTGTCCCATCCAAATGACTAGATCCTTTTTCTAAATTTCTTCTCAAATATACATGCCATTACCCCATAGCAAATTCATCCATATTGGCTTTCCCCATTAGAACTCCACCATGTTGCAATATTTTTTCCACCATTGTAGCGTTGTAAGGTGGTTGAAAGTTTGCCAGCATTCTTGACCCACATGTTGTCTTTACAGCAGTTGTACAAAAATTATCTTTAAATGCAACAGGAATTCCTTCTAATAGTCTCTGCTCTTCTCCTAAAGATCATAATAATAAAAAAAAATTAATAATAATAATAATACATTTGATAGCGCCTCATAAAATCCAACTACTTTTCGTTGCTTGGTGGTGAGATTAAAATATACATATTACAACATACCACAGTTAGAACTAGGTAATTTCGGGACTAACATATGGTTTAATATTATTTTAACAATTCGCTTGCGTGTAGGGGTCTTTAGCGAGGGAGGAAACCGGAGGACCTGAAGAAAACCCACAAGGTTATACAGGCAACCTTACTCCTTGTCACGTACAATCAGGATTTCGAAACCCTGCCAGTTGACTCAATGACAGGCCGTATGATACAGCACGCACGTGCTAATCATTCGGCCATCCACCCCCACCCCTTTTTTAGCAGAGGGAGGAAACAGGAGGACCCGAAGAAAACCCACAAGGTTGGATAAGAAACCTTACTCCTTGTCACGTACAACCAGGGAATCAAAACCATGAAAAACAATTGAGGCATAAATCTGACCGATTCACATTTTAGAAATATACAGAGAGAGAGAGAAAGGTGGTTTAACGGATACTTGACACTCGGGGCTAATATATGGTGAAATTTTAGGTCAATAATTCCATTTGCACGTACAGGTCTTTAAGTCTTTAGCTTTAGCAGTGGGAGGAAATCAGAGGACCCACGTAAAACCCATGAGGTTGGACAGGCGACCCTACTCCATGTCATTTGACTCAATGACAGACCTTATGGTTCCACATGCATGCGTTAAACCAATAGACCCCCACCCCACCATTTATAATCTACTTTCACTTTACTAAAAAAGAAAAACTTTGATAAATAAAGAAAAATATGCAATTCAGTGCAACAAATACCTATTAAACAAACATAAGGCAAGAGATAACTCTGCCTAATGCAGGTCTTTCTTTAGGCCTGAAATGTTATCTAAATTATTAAGAAGTATCAAGACCATAATAATCAACTCTCCATGTCATCACTATCCTGCGATATTTTAATACTGGATTAGTATCCGATTTGCTGCTCAACTTTCATTCGTGATTAAATCATGAAATGGATAAATGAGACTTGGTTTTTTATTGTACCGACTTTAGTAATGATGATGGAGGCTAGGCCGAAAATTCAATCTCTAAATTCTCGGTTCAGAGTGGATCAATTTGATTGAAATTTTCAGCAAATTCCCTTAACATTATTTAGTTTTTAACTATTATAGTGAGAACTTCCAGCTCTTTATCTAATCTCCCATAATGTATCTTTAATATCATCACCTTGTTTCGTTCTGTTTGTTGAGATTTCAGCCAACTGTTGGGAATATTCTGGTGTTTCACTGATATAAATATTCAAGTCTTTCAACCTTTTTGCTCGTTTAATACTAAGATTACACAATTCTGACGCAGTTATCTTTCCTTCTTTTAAATGTTTTAAAACCTGAAAACAGCAAAAATAATAGATACCGGTACTGATGTGTTTATAATTTGGGGGATACAAGTAAAATGTTCTGTAGTCCTTCGGATGAAAAGAAAAACAAAAGTTCACTCGACTAAGGTTTAATATACATTCAACCCTTCTGTTGTTATTATTTTTGTAGCCAAATACTTCCAATGAAATCACGGCCTACCAAAGCAAAGAAAACTATATGTAATGCAGTATCTGTACAGACAAAATAAACATGAATATATTGGAAAATCATGGTAATAATTATATCGGTAATGGTTAGGAATATATATGGTGATGTTGTGCATGATTGCATGGCATGTGCCATGTAGACTGATAATAATTGTAATCCGAATGATATGCCTCGGGTGATAAACGTAAGTACAATTCGTAATCATATAATCAAATCAACTGACAAACACATAACAATAAAAACATGTCAAAACTATTAAATCACCTCTCTGATCTGCAATGAAAGCATGACTAGTTTAGAAGAAAGGTCATAGTTAAAGGGTCAATTAAGGTCAATTATTTAGAGTTATCTCCCCTATTTATCAAATCGGTCTGTAGAGTTAATTTTTGTGCCTCGAAACTATTCAAAAACGCCCGAAGCTAGACTTGTACTCGGATAAAGATGTCTATTTTAATGTTTGCGTTGATTGTCGAGAAAGGGGTATAAACTCAGCTGCTTGTATAAAGAACTTCCAAGTCCTCTGGTTCTTCTAGATATTCCAGCGTGGTTTCTCCTTGTCAGTGGTGCTGGACGGAGGGCCTTAGAAGCTCGGATGGGAAGAAAACAGAAGTTTCGTGTACATTGTCCAGTAAAAATTTCCCTCATTGCACACTGCATGTAGTGCAGGAAATTAGGGCATTAAACCCCATTTCGTTTCATTTCACATAAGAAAAACTCAAACAGTTCAGAGACTTGAAAGATTAGTGACATATCAATTCAGTTGAGTTGAGACAGGGTGCCCTGTTCGCGTGGTCTAATATCTAGGCCTACATCACACTACACTTAAAAAAGTTGTTGATCCTAAAAGAAAGGAATTTATATAGGCGATGAAGAAAATTGTGGGTAGCATAAATAAGGAACTCATTAAAATATACATATTATGTAAAACGTGAATGGATTATGTTGTTTTGTTTGGGGTTTTTTAATCAGCATTAAACCAAAAGTTAAATATATGAATTGGATCAGCGTACAATATATTAAATAAGGCTAGAGCTAAATTTGCCTATTTCAGGTCTTTCTTTTGGCCTCAATTGTTACATAAGTTATTGATTGGACATTATTAATCAACTCTCTAGAACAATGGATGGTTTTGATTTTGAACGGCTTAACACACGACCGCCACTTTTAAATTTAATTTAAAAATCTATAATCGATACTTTATTTATTATCGTAACAACATTAGCAATGAAAATCAAGGGGTGTCGTTAGTGGGATATCCTTGGGCCTCTCTTCATCAAAATCTGGCCCTTCACGTTAAAATTGTAATACACGCGACATGTACAGTTTTCCGACGTGGATTCCCCTTGTAAGTGGTGCAGGAAGGAGGGTCTGACAAGGACAGCTCTCTAGTCATTCGGATGGGACGAAAAACCCAGGCCCCGTGTACACATTGGATTGCACGTAAAAGATCTCTTGGCAGTTGGCCATAGTGCCGCTGCCCGGGCAAAATTTCCCTCATAGAACACTGTATGGCTTATGCTCGTCTTCATTAGCCCAGTCGGAGCAAAACAGTAGGACGTTAAACCCCATTCCATTTCATTTATATTGTAACGTCTTGTAAATGTTCGATTTTGGGGTAGAAAATGGTCCCCAGGCGCTCCTCATCTTGTTCTTGGGAGTGTCCGGGCAAAATTTCCCTCATATAGAACACTTTATGGTGAATGCCCGTGTCTTCATCAGCCCAAACACCGCCTCTTTAAATCAGCATGCAACGAGCACGCTTGAAACTCATTTGCGTTGTTATAATAATGATGATATAGTTTGTAGATTTCATTCGGTCTCAGCCAGTGTATAGACAGTTGTGTTATCACCCTGCCTGATCATTTTGTTGTTTCCGCCAGACGACCCGGTCGCTGTGTGTAGTGGGTTTTTGATCGCCAATTTGTGCTACATCATTCATATCGGCCGACACGTTTACATACTGCGTATAATATAGGATTAACACGAGCTAGTAATAGCATATTCAAACAAACAGGCAAACAGTGGAGAGATCAATTTTCCTACACAGGACATATTATTTCATCATACAAGATGGCAGGGAAGAGTGTTTTGGATCAGCTGAAGGATGTCACGGTGGTCGTGGCGGATACTGGTGATTTTGAAGGTAAATAATCCATAGTGGGATGAGGGCACGGTCGAATCACTTTCATGTCCTAGGTTTCTATGGCAATGTTATTCTAATGTCGGACATTTCTTGTCGGAGGGCTGGGGTAAAGTTCAATCTATTCACAGCCTATACCGATATATATCTATGAATCAATTGGTGTTTAAATGGCGTGTCAGCTCCAACTGGGCCCTCAAACTAAGTCTAGGAACCCAATGTTTCACGGGGTCGTCTTTGTTCATTGCGTGTCCTCTTTGGTCATTGCGTGGTTTCCCCTTGTCAGTGGTGCAGAACGGAGGACTGACAAGGACAGCTGTCTAGTCCTTCGGATGAGACGAAAAACTCAGGTCCCGTGTATATATTGGAATGCACTAAAAGATCCCTTAATTGGCAGTTGGAATTCGATATAAGAGTAGGCGATAGTGCCGCTGCCCGGGCAAAATTTCCCTCATAGCACACTGTATAGGCGTATGCCCGTCTTCATTAGCCCAGTATAGGAGCAGAACAGTAGGACGTTAAACCCCATTTCATTTCATATCTTTGGTCATTGCAGATATATCATTGTCACTTTTGTCGACTATATCGCTTCTGCACGTGACATGTGTAAAATACTCGACAAGAGACTTGACCTTAACACATTTATCATATCAGTTCCTGATCAACTCAACATCTGTGACAAGGTTATATTATAATTTATAACGATATTAGACTATTCAGGTCCCGGTTGGTTGGATGGCCGAATGGTTAGCACGTGCGTGCGCTGTATCATAATAAGGCCTGTCATTGAGTCAACTGGCGTGGTTTCGAATCCCAAATTGTACGTGACAAGGAGTAGGGTTGCCTGTCCAACCTCGTGGTTTTTTTCCGGGTCCTCCGGTTTCCTCCCACTGCTAAAGACCCCTACGCGCAAGCGAATTATTGAAATAAAATTAAACCATATGTTAGTCCCGAAATGACCCCATTTCTCTCTCTCTCTCTCTCTCTCTCTCTCTCTCTATTCTGGCCCCGTCGTGGATGAGCAAAACCCTGTCAATGGTGCAGGACGGGGGGCTAGCAAGGAGCAGCGTCTAGTCGTTCGGATGGAACGTACAAACTGAGGTCCCATGACAGTTGGAATTCAATTGCAAAATTTCCTTTACAGCACACTGAATGTCGCATGTCCGTCTCATTTGCCGGGTAGACGCAGAAATGCAGGACGTTAAACCCTATTTCATTCCTTTTTTACAAGAAAAATCTTCACTTATTGTAATGTGGCGACTGTGGAGGTGACAAAGGTGGGACGAAAAACTGTGCATGTGTTTGTCGCTTTTTCGCCGTATACGCCAGAAGGGCGTTTTGTATTTAAATGTTCTTAATTGCGTAATGACATCAAAACTATATTGACCGATCGAACTTGTTGTGCCTTTTAAAACATTTTATCCAAAAGATTGGCAATTATCCCAGTACTGTTATAATTAATCGATCATATTGATAATGAAGTGGTGTACATTGGTCATATAAAGTAGCTGATTATAACAGAATAAGTCAGCAACCTCTAGCCCTTCCTCTATATCCGTGGAAATGAAATGAAATAAAAGGGGGTTTAACGTCCTACTTTCCTGCACCAACCCGGCAAATGAAGACGGGCATTCCCCAGAGAGTGTGCTATAGGGGTAAATTGAATGGACCGCGTTTTCGCCGACTCTCTGTAGAATTCTATCACGACCTCGGCTTTTCTTCCTTTCCTGTAAATGACAAGGAACAGGGTCTAGTCGAAAAGATGTTAAGAAGTGAAATGAAATGGGGTTTAACGTCCTACTGTTCTGCTCCGAATTAAATGAAATAAAATTGGGTTTAACGTCCTACTGTTTTGCTCCTAATTGGGATAATGAAGACGGGCATACGCCATACAGTGTGCTGTGAGGGAAATTTTGCCCGGACAGCCGCACTACGCCTACTCTTATATCGAATTCCATCTGTCAAGGGATCTTTTACGTGCACGCCAATGTGTACACGGGACCTCGGTTTTTCGTCCCATCCGAAAGACTAGACAGCTGTCCTTGTCAGACCCTCCTTCCTGCATCACTGTTAAAGGCGAACCACGCCGGAAAATCTGGATGAACTTTCTCGGCCAATGCCGGGATCGAACATGTGCATGGCAGTCTGAATTCGACAAAAAGTAGGCAATTTCCCTCTCATCTATTTAGCACAACGTGGCGTTAGCCCGTCTTCATTTTCCCGTTTGATACAGAAGGGTGGACAGTTACAACTTTATTTAATCAACTATTAAGTAGGTCGCATGCATCGATGATTGACAATACGTACATAATACAATGTTATGATATGTCTGAATAAATATTATTTCTGCAGATTATTTTATTAGCGCGACTGCAATAAAAAAAAAAAAAATCTATTATTTATTAGAATTTACTCTCTATATTTTGTTCTCAACACAAAAGCGAAATGATATTAAACGTCTCACAACAAATCGCTGCACCAATGGTTAGCGCGTGCGCGCTGTATCATAAGGTCTGTCATGAGTCAACTGGCGTGGTTCCGATTCCCGGGTTGTACGGGACAAGGAGTAGGATCGCCTGTCCAACCTCGTGAGTTTTGTCCGGGTCCTACAGTTTCCTCCCATGGCTAAAGACCCCTACGCGCAAGCGAATTATTGAAATAGAATTGAACCACATTAGTCCCGAAATGACCTAGTGTGTGTGGAGTGGACGTTAAACTCTCTCTCTCTCCCTCTCTCTCTGCACCAACTGTTCTATAGGATAATTTTGACCAGCATGGGAAATGAAATGAAATGGGGTTTAAAGTCCTACTGTTCTGCTCCTAACCTGGGCTAATGAAGACGGGACTAGCATGGGGATCTCGGTTTTCGTCTCTCCGTCCTGCACCCCTGCCAGGAAGTCAGTCTAGATATGCAATGGTGTTTAGCGTCCTTTTTTCTGCACGCCATGTAGTGTGCTATGAGGGATATTTTTTTCCAGGAAAGTGGCATTACGGCTTCCTCATATTTCGAATTTCGACCGCCAAGGGTTCGTTTACATTCACGCCAATGGGTTAAATGGTAAATTGAGGGTTTTCTTGCAGTGAAGATCCACATGTTTTATAAAACTGGACAATTTTTCAATCGAGAAACACGCGTCAGTAATGGGAGTTGCTAAACGGTGCATCGCACGAAAATTTGTGTTTTTGAAAGAAATTTAAAATACTAAAACAATATTAGGACACGTGCCAAAATCGTAACTCGCAATGGTAGGCTTACGTGTCTCATGCTTAACCTTATGGTTTTTCTCCGGTTCCCTGCTAAAGACCCCGACATGCAAGCGAATTATTTAAATAAATTTGAACAATATGTTAGTCCTGAAATAATCCTATTATAGTCCTAAATCTAATTCTGTTTATCAGAATCTATCTCCTAAGGCTTTCAAGTGATATAGAGATTAATTAATTGTTATTGGTCTAATGTTCCGTCGGTCACGAGGGAAACCTCTATCCACTTTTAATCAGCTATGACTTTTTTGGTAGTGAATCCCGTCTATATTGCCCCAATCGATTCCGAAAAGTAGGACGTAAAACCCTATTGCATTGCCATTGGGTAGCAACAAAAGTTGTCCTATTTACTAAACGCCCGATGGTTACCCGATGACTGCCACTGGTTAAAAGTAACTGTAGTTTGTCCAATCACAATGCGTATGTATGGCCGGATATAGTAATTCACAACTTGCAAGAAATTTGCGAACCGACAAGGCAACAGGAAAGTGTTATTGAAAGTAAAATACTTATATAATTTCAAAATGTCTGATGCCAAAAAGCTGGCGAGGTCTGCATTAGACCAACTGAAAGACGTGACGACTGTTGTCGCGGATACGGGAGATTTTGAAGGTAGAAAAACTTAATCATTTCGTTTGGCTTTTCCACAAATTTTCTAATACTATGTTTGCCAAGTTCTTTTTGATCTATGCCGGCAGTTTGTAGTCTTGATTATCAAAAGTGACTATTTATTGCGATAAGACAGGGTTTATGTACAATGTATGTCTGGATGAATATGAATATGAATATGCAAGTAGATTATCTAAAAGTGTATTTTGTAGAACAAAACTAAAGTGAATAAAAAAAAAGTCATGTCTTTTCTATAATAGATCTGACAATTGTGCACATAATGGTATTTTTAAATAGACTGACCATTTATTATTCAATTGTCACTAATGTCACTGTCAGTGTGACTGTTGCAGAAAAGGTCCGGCAAGGGACAATGTATATCTATTTATTTTATGATCAATAGTGGAATACCGCGTTTTATCAGTGAAATAAAAGTGTTGTTTTTACCTAAAATGATTGTAAAATCATAAAATAAATAGAACATTTGTCGTTTTGTCGTGAATAACATATTTTATTTCATTTCTAAGCAAGAAAACGTAATAGTTATTCACTCTTAAACGACAAATATCCTCTATATAGTCGTTCGGATGGAACAAAAAATACGAGGTCCTGTTTACACATTGGCATGCACATGAAAGATCCCTTGACAGCTGAAATTCGATATAAATATAAGAGTAGGCAGTAGCGCTGGGCAAAATTTCCCCCATAGCACACTTTATGGCGCATGCCCATCTTCATTAGCGTAGGACATGATTTCATTTCTGTTGCTTACAATGAAAGGTTAGAGACGAGTGAGAGTAAAGGATTATGAAATTCCATGATAACTGAAATATTTGACAGTTATTTTTTCACCTAGTTTTTTTATAATAGTGGTTACATAAATATTATTGCTGTGTCATTATGACTATATACATATTAGAAGCACTGAACATTTTTAAATCAATATTTTTGTGGGTGGAATAGGGAAATGCATTAATTAAAGATTACATAAAACTAAAATCAATGTTTTGCTTATTATGTTAGTTTAAAGGGTAGTGGCATTAAAGGGCATATATAGCTCTATTCTTTAAAAAATTATAGTAGACAAAATGCATAATTAAAAATAATTGAGCTTTTCCTCGCGAATGATCCTGATAGTGACAGTGACAGCATGATGCCATAAGAAATGTCTTTGAATTCAAATGGATTCACACTCTAATAATAAACTTTCATTTAATGATAAGATTGAGTTGAAAAGGTACACTTTGACTTTCACAATACAAATACACAGCTCTCTCTCTCTCTCTCTCAAATACAATTACTGAGTGACCTTTCAACCAGCATTCATTATGACTTGTCTTTATCAAGATTTCTAAATCCTAGTCAAAACATGACTCACTAATAAAACAGTAAGTCTGTTTGATAGAACCATGTCCTCCATTTTTCCATTTCAATTACTCAATACCATTGAAACAAAATACATATCCTCTTTCTCAGTCATCTGGAACTTAAACTCGCGTAAATAGAGAACCTGTTAAATGAACAAAGGATTAGTTTTATCTCTTTGTCATCCTAATCCTGCTGTAAAGTATACAGATCTCAATCGTCAAAAATATTAATAAAGTCACATCCTGCTGTTATTAATATTATAGATATCCCTAAAATCTTTACCTGAATAATTTAGGGTTATATCTTCCTTCTTTTCGCAACCAAAACAAATAATAGTTGTCACATCCTGCTATTAGCAATATTGTCCTTTAAAGATACATTAGCCTCGCTTGAATGGCCTTTCATCACCAGTTTCCGGTAGTGACATCAGCGACTAACGGTAAACATTAGCTTGTTCCACCATTTATTGATTTAATTTTAAATGAACAACTGTTTAAATCCAAATTGTATCCTACCCATTGAGCTTGTCGTGTAAATAAAGGTCTAATAAATCATTTCTATAACATCTGAAGTCTAAATAAAGACTTGCAATAGGCAGATTTAGCTCTTGCATAATGTAGGTTTAAATCTGTGTTACTTAAAACTTGACCCACAAAACCTCAGTTTTTTTTGTAGAATGCAGTTCGACATTTTTTACTTAAATATCTGTGTTACCATTTAAAATGTGACCCACAAAACCTGATATATTGATGGGTTTTACTATCTTTACTACATGTAACATGTCCTGTGTCAATTATGATTAAAGAAGACATGTCTTTAACTCAATATCGTCCAAAGTCTTCGACATTGCAAACACGACTTGTTGGTAAATATAAATCAACATTGATGTTGTTATCTTACCGTGTGAAGATGGGCTTCTGATATCCAATATTTAAGACAAAATGAAAATTTTAAAATTGGCACATAAATCGCGTGCCAGAATGCTTTTGACCGCCATTTGTAATGAAGCGACTCAATGAACGTGGCTAAACATGTCCCACACAAGAATACTATCAGTGTAGACAGGAATAACCAGACGCCAAAGACTGCCATTCAATTTGGACACTAAGGATATTTCGCCGAATATAACAGATTAGAAATTTCTAGGTGCCAAAGAATAGCAATTTATCTCCATTAAAATTATGCTATCAAGTATACAGGAATAACATGTGCACCTCAGTCTTACTTAAATCTGTGTTACTTAAAGTTTGACCCACAAAACCTCAGTTTTTAATAACACATACCGTAGTTCAACTTTTTTTACTTACATTGGCTCACTAGCCTGGAGGTGTCAGGTTTGCCGCCGGTGTTAGGCTGTTGGGCAAGAAAGATCATCTGGATTTTCCGGCATGATTTCCCCTTCTCAGTGGTTCAGGGCGGACAAGGACAGCTGTCATGTCATTCAGATGATATGAAAAAACCGAGGTCACGTGTACACATTGAAAAAAAAAAACCTTGGCCGTTAAAATTGGATATACATGTAGTGCTGCTGTCCGGGCAAAATTTCCCATCTTTATTATCCCAGTCAGTGCAGAACAGTAGAACATTAAACCCCATTTCATTTCATTTCTCTGGCTGTAAAACTGGTTTGGAAATGAAATGAAATGAAATGGGATTTAACATCCTACTGTTTACTCTGACTGGGCTAATGAAAATGGGTATACGCCATACCATGTACTATGAGGGAGATTTTGCCCAGACAGCGGCACTATGGCCTACTCTTATATCGAATTCCAACTGCCAGTGGATCTTTTACATGCACACTAATGTATACACGGGTCCTCAGGTTTTTCATTCCCTCCAAACAACTAGACATCTGTCCTTGTCAGTCCCTCCATCCTGCACCCCTGGCAAGGGGGAAACCACACCGGAAAATTCTGATGAACTTTCTCGGCCAATCCAGGGATTGAACATGCAACCTCCAGGCTAGCGAGCCATTTAGCCACCGTGGCTCCCAAAATGGTTTGGAACCCTGAACAAAATGTTATATCTTCTGTATGAGAAACCGATCATCGTAAATAACTGTAGTATTTCTTCAAGTATTTCTGTTCACGGTTCAGATACCGTGGCTCCCAAAATGGTTTGGAACCCTGAACAAAATGTTATATCTTCTGTATGAGAAACCGATCATCGTAAATAACTGTAGTATTTCTTCAAGTATTTCTGTTCACGGTTCAGATAAACATTTCATGGTTGGATAACTACAGACAGATTCAATCCACCAAATCAATAAAGACTTTTCCTGTGGACTTGTGATTTGATCTGCATCGATAAATAAAAAGATAATCAATTCATGTCACATTTCGATTTATTCGCTCATCTGAAATAATGGAGACCAAAACTTAAAGATAAATTATAGAAGATTTTTACAGAGAATTGGCCATTCTTGCTATAGCAGTTCAAAATTAGATGATGAAAGAAGAATATTTTGAAAATTTCAGTCAAATTACTTTATTCTGAACATAGTTATCATCGTTGTAATATTTGACTAGAAATGGTAGTGAAATGTGCCTTCACCGTGGCTGATCGTTTGATTGACAGGCGTTAACTCCACCTACATATCTCGATTATCAAGTAAAGTTTTCAATGGCATGCGGAAACGCTCTACAGCGGCCTCACTAAGTACACTCTATCATTTAGCCTCAATCTAACTGACGTATTCTCATCAGGATGCGCCATATTTGAATTAATTGATAAGTGAAATCCTATTTAAATCCGAGCTGTAGCCGAGCCATCCGTGGGTCTACAGAGTTGATTTTGGGCTTGTTGTTTAAATAAAGATCTAATTTATAATTTCTATAACATCTGAAACCTAAATTAAGACTTGCAATAATTAGATTTTGCTCTTGCATATTGTATGTTTAATAAGTTGCTCTTAGTTTATAGCTGGGTTATGCGACTAGCGGGGAAACCCACTGTCATCGATTTCGCACATAATTTGTTCATGGAAGTGTTGCTTTATGAAATGTCTCGATCCCAAATATTTTCCAAAAATTCTGACTATTAAAGATTTTGTAGACATTTTTCCGAAGTTGGGTGTTTCTAAACCGGTGCACCCAGAAAAATGAAAAAATGTCAACAATTTCCAAATTACTTAAAGTATCAAGTTGAAATTTGGTACTTATATGTAAACCTATAAGCTGTCAAGTCATTCGGATGTGACGAAAAACTGAGGTTCTGTGTAAACATTGGCATGCACGTAAAAGATCACTTGGCAGTTGGAATTCGATACAAGAGTAGGTGATGGGGTCGCTGCCCGGGCAAAATTTTCCTCATAGCAAACTGTATGGCATATACCAGTCTTTATTAGCCCAGTATAGGAGCAGAACAGTCGGACGTTAAACCCCATTTCATTTTCATTTCATTTCGTACATCGCATGTTGTCCATGGTCCTATAATGGCAGGGAGGTTGGATTGGATGGTCGAATAGTTAGCACGTGCACGCTGTGTCATAAGGCCTGTCATTGAGTCAACTGGCGTGGTTTCGAATCCCCGATTGTACGTGACAAGGAGTAGGGTCGCCTGTCCAACCTTGTGGGTTTTCTCCGGGTCCTCCCACTGCTAAAGACCCCTACACGCAAGCGAATTATTGAAATAAAATTAAACCATATGTAAGTCCTGAAATGACCTCGTTTGTGGACGTTAAACCCCATTTCTCTCTCTCCTATTATGGCAATTAATATCATAATTCTTGTAAGGTGATTGATTAATAACATTTTATGTTTCAGCAATGGTTAAATTTAAACCAACTGATGCAACCACCAACCCATCCCTGATTCTGGCAGCTGCTTCCATGCCTGCCTACCAATCTCTGATAGATGAAGCTGTGTCTTACGGCAAAGAAAATGGAAAGTAGGTTGTTCTATTTGCCTGGGACAATGTATTTAAATTTTGATTAAATGAGAAAAATTTTTAATAATTTTTCTAGAGCCTATACAAGTTAGGAAGTCAAGTGGGAGGGCTTTAACTCTGTCCAAACTTATGTAACATATCTGTTAAAATTTACTGCTATGTATCATAGTAACTCAAACCATGTCTCTCAATTCTATACGCAAATTGTGAGAAGGTGATTAGTAATTGTTCCTCCATAATGAATTGTTATATTTTTTTGCTCTATCCCATCCATTACTAAATAAATAGAAATCGTTCTCCTATTAGTAGGGGGATGCAGAATGGTTAATACACTGTATCATTAGGTCTGTCATTGAGTCAAGTAGCGTGGTTTCAATTCCCCATTTGTACGTGACAAGGAGTAGGGTTGCCTGTCCAACCGCGCAAGCTTTTCTGTCCCACTGCTAAAGACTCCTACATGCAAGCGAATGATTGAAATGAAATTTGACTATATTATGTTAGTCCTGCAATGACCTAGTTTGTGTCGAGTGGACATTAAACCCCATTTGTTAGATGCAACTTTCCGTATTCTAGTTAATTTTAAATGGATATTTGATTTTTAAAGAACAACCGAAGAACAACTGAATACCGCTATGGATAAAGTTTGTATAAATTTTGGAATGGAAATATTGAAGATAATTCCTGGTCGAGTTTCAACAGAGGTAGACGCTAGGTAAGGGGAAAAAAAACATTTTGCTTGCAGAAAACAAAACGTCAATCTGGTTAAAACACAGATCCTATTTCGTTACGTTTTTATAGTTCAAAATTTCGTTTTACTTGTCTTTACTACACTAGGATCTGGGAGAGTTGTTATCATTGACGTCTTCTGAATGGTGTGAGGACTTAGCCAATGAAACGGTCTTTTACGGCTAGCTTTAGGCAAGTTTTGCACAGAACTGTGGGTAACCCACTAGTAACATAAATGCTGATTCGTTAATCAAATGTCTGACATCATAGGGCCAAAAGCCGCTGGTATGACCTCAGGGCGACCTATCACTACAACTGGTCAGATCTTCATGTAGTGTAGGCCATCAAAAGTATAAAAAAATGAAACGAAATATAGATCTGTATTTTAATCAGATTGACAAAACGTTAGAGTTTGTGATGGTGTGATTCCCGTGCACGCCTGCTAAGCCTGTAACAATATTCCAAAGTCCAAACATGTAATTTCTGAATGGCATTTTGTTGTGCAGGGCTGGAGTAAAACCTTGGGGAGCGCTCCAGATCACTTCCAAGTTCAGGGGCCCCTCAGCATCGAAATGAAATTACATGATGACTAAAAAAAAGGTGAACTCAAATGTATGATTAGCTGCAATTGTTCGAGGAAAAAATTACATGTTCAGCTCTGAAGAAGACGTCATATTTTATTTTTCTTATTTTTATAAAGAAGGACTTTGAGCCCCTCTTCGAATTCTTTAGAATGTACGAAAAACCATGTTCCAGCAACAATATGCTAAATGAACTTGTCCCAACACGACTGGAAATAACACATCTGGCCCCGAGTTCACAAGCATTCCCAAACTTAAGTTAAGAATTTACTCAAAATTGTTCACCTTATTTTAACTAAAATATACCCCTTTATAAAACTTTTGTTGTTTTAATGTATCAAATACATCAATACGAAACTATGTACAAAGTTTTATGTTTCTGGATCAAAGATATTTCCCATAAACAGTGATTGAAAGTTGAGTAAATTCTTAAGTCTAAGAATACTTTGTGAACTCAGGGCCAGAGCTCCCAATTCATAAATTTATATTGACGTAAATCAAATCGGTAATATGTCGTCAATTACTTACACTAAGAAGTCATTGATTTACTATTTTGGGGGGATCACGGTGGCTGAGGGGGCAAGATGCTGGCTCGTTAGCCTGGAGGCCGGGTGTTTGATCCCTACATTGGCCGAGAAAGTTCACCAGGATTTTCCGTCATGGTTCCCCCTTGTCAGTGATGCTAGACGGAGGGCCTGACAAGGACAGCTGTCTAGTCATTCGGATGGGCCAAAAAGTTGAGGTCCCGTGTACACATTTGCATGCACGTAAAAGAAATCTTGACGTTGGAATTCGATATAAGAGTAGGCCGTAGTGCCGCTGTCAGGCAAAATTTCTCTCATACCATACTGTATGGTGTATGCCCATCTTCATTAGCCAAGTTCAGAGCAGAACAGTTGGACGTTAAATCCCATTTCATTTCATTTCTATTATTTTTTCAGATTATCGTTTGATAAGAATGCAATGGTGGATAAAGCAAAGCAATTGATTGCCTTATATAAAGCTAATGGAATCAGTAAAGACAGAATTTTAATCAAATTATCATCAACATGGGAAGGTATTCAAGCCGCCAAGTAAGATATTTTTGTTTTACCCCCTAGCACCTAGACCATCTCCTCCGAGGAGTGTCTCAAACAGCCTGATCACATGAATAGCTGTGAACTATTTGAATGAAATTTTCAAATTATTCATTCTACATGATCTATTTTCGAATTATTATAGCAAGAATGGCTAGCTCTTTATCTAAATATCAAAAAAGAGAATCCCCAGCAACAGACTTCACAACACTGTGTAGATGGTTTTTAAAAATTATATTCTAAGTCCAAACATGTACTGGACTTAGAATATAATTTTTAAAAACCATCTACACAGTGTTGTGAAGTCTGTTGCTGGGGATTCTCTTTTTTGATATATTTCACGGCTTGGTTCCTGCTCCTCCCCGGATGCATCACTGAGATCCAGACTTGCCTGCACTGTTCTAGGGAATCTTCCGCCCTCCTTAATTATCGAGTGTGGGGCTTTTATCGTCCTCTACTTGGATTTTCTTTATCTAAATCTTACATAATGTATCTTTAATATTTGTTTCAGGATTCTAGAAGCTGAATACGGTATCCATGTTAATATGACTTTAATATTCAATTTCTATCAGGTTAGTATTCATGTAATCCATCGAGAGGGGGGTTGGATGGCTGAATGGTTAGCGGCCGCGCGCTGTATCATAAAGTGTGTCATTGAGTCGACTGGCGTGGTTTCGAATCCCTGGTTGTCCACGCGACACAGACTAGGTCACCCAGGGATCAACACATAGTTCAATCTTATTCAATAATTCGCTTGCGGGTACGGGTCTTTAGAAGTGGGAGGAAACCGGAGGAACCGGAGAAAACCCACGAGGTTGAACAGGCGATCCTACTCTTTGTCATGTACAACCAGGAGTCGAAACCACGCCAGTTGACTCAATGACAGACCTTATGATAAAGCACGCACACCCTAACCATTCGGCCATCTAATCCACTGAAGAATACAGTATTTATCTTTTTTTTTTATTATTCCACCCATAGCGAATCTTGGTGGCTTGATTAACTTGGCGCTGTAGTCAAGTGGTTAGGGTATTGGACCATCAAGCAGAATGTTCTGGATTCAAATCTGGAAATTAAAGCTGGAAACTGACGATTTGGTAGTCACAGGGCTCTATAAAAGTTGAGTGTGCCTGCGCACACACTTGAAAATGTGCCTGCAGGGTCATACTGAAACACAGGGATGTAGCCAGGATTTGGTGAGTGGTGTAAAAATATATTTGGCGAGCGGAGCGAGGCAAAAAACAATTTGGGAGGGGGCGTGGTCTTTTATGAAAATAAAACCCTTCTTGGTGTATTTTCAGAGCATCTGCTGCCTTTTGTATTTGGTTCAGTGCAAATCAAATTTCCATTGATATATTCAAATTTTACCAAATTCACTTAATTTTCATCAATGATACAGGGATCTAAAAACTTTTTGACACCACCCGACCGAGCATAAAATTGTCCCGCCTCACTCTGTTTCTCTGGATAGATAAGTTGAGGACCTTTCGGTATTTGTTGTTTTGTTGGGGTTTTTTCAAATATTACTTTATAACTTTGAGATTAGAAATTAAAACGATTCTTAAAACGATGTTTTATTTGAGTACAACGAATTATGACAACAGGTAGATATTTATAATTAAAACACGTTGTATTATTTGACTTGTTTCAATGTCTGTAAAGTTGTTGTACGTGTCTCACGAATATTATTATTATTATGGTGGAATGAGAATCAGGTCAGGCAGAAACTGAGAAAGCTCTCATCGTCCTCCTAGTCCTACTCTCGGGCAGTAGCAAATCCACGGTCAACACAGGTAAGAAATAAAATAAGAAACATCGTGAAAATTTGCAGGCACGTGTTGGACAATTACGACATTCAAACCTTTAACATTGGAGTGCGGTAAATTGGTCTGGGTGACCTAATTACGGCAAATAAACAAATATAAAGACCGTAGAATAAATGTAAAATGAATAGACCTAGGCCTACACATCTTCTAAGTATAAATAAACAAAATACCAATACATCTTTCTTTAAACTAATTTGGGATGATAGGGTCTACTACGGCACACAAAAATAAATTATGCCGTGACAGACATGGTTTGCGTACGTTGGCTTTTACCATGGCTTTGCCGTTTAATTGCCGTGGTAAATTTCGAGTGCCAAGTTTGTGTACAGAGAAGGACGAAGGGGTTTAAATACGACTGGGCGGCTTCCTTCGATTTTTTCTTTGTGCTGGGCGGCAAAAAATAGTGCCGGGCGCAGGTGCCACCTGGCGTGGCTACATCTTTTAAAATGTGCCTGCAAAAAAGTTTTTTAAAGCAAATGTGCCTGCGCATGTGCGCGGAAATGTCGATGCCTGGGTAGTCACACTGCTGTTCAGGCAAAATTCTCATTGAGTCAAGTGGCGTGGTTTCGATTCTCCGCTTGTATGTGACATGGAGTAGGGTTGCCTGCCCAAACTCATGGGTTTTCTCCGTGTTCTTCAGTTTCCTCCCACTGTTAATGATTCGTACCCACAAGCGAATTATTGAAATAAAATGGAACCATGTGTTAATCCCGAAATGACCTAGTTTGTATCTGTAGACATTAAAACCCATTCCTCTCTCTCTCTCTCTCTCTCTATCTCTATCTCTCTCTCTCTTACCTTTCATCCAGCATAATCACAGAAATGTAAATGACCATATGTTAGTCTCAAAGTGACCTACGTATTCTCTTGACAAAGAGTTTAATCTGCATTCCATTCCTGATCCACCCCTGTTTCTATTGTTATAGAACCAGCTCAATGATACATATGTATATTATTATTGAAACAGACTATAGCATGTGGTGATTATTTTATTTTTGTTATTGAAACAGACTATAGCATTTTATTTTTATTATTGAAACAGACTATAGCATGTGGTGATTATTTTATTTTTGTTATTGAAACAGACTATAGCATGTGATTATTTTATTTTTGTTATTGAAACAAACTATAGCATGTGGTGATTATTTTATTTTTGTTATTGAAAAAGTCTATAACATGTGATTATTTTATTTTTGTTATTGAAACGAGCTATATCTTGAGGTGATGTATTTTATTTTTGTTATTGAAACAGGCTATAGCATGTGGTGACGTAAAAGCAACTTTAATCTCACCATTTGTTGGTAGAATATTTGATTGGTTCGTCAAAAATACAGATAAAAAAACATATGAACCTCTTGAAGATCCAGGTTAGTAGACCTCTGATACGCGACGTCCCCATTAACTAGGAGGTTCTGATACGCGACGTCCCCATTAACTAGGAGGTTCTGATATGCGACGTCCCCATTAACTAGGAGGTTCTGATACGCGACGTCCCATTAACTAGGAGGTTCTGATACGCGACGTCCCCATTAACTAGGAGGTTCTGATACGCGACGTCCCATTAACTAGGAGGTTCTGATACGCGACGTCCCCATTAGCTAGGAGATTCTGGGTTCAATCCCACTGTTGTCCAAGATAGTTTTGGGGAATTTTAAAGTCCTCTTTCCCATCTCAGTGGTGCAGGATTGAATGCCCAGCAAGGCCCAGAATATAGTGAAATGATCATAGCACATTAAAGATGCTGTGACTGTTGGAAATCGATATAAGAGTAGGCTTGACACCTTGTCTGGTCAAAATGTTCCCCATCGTTACTCCATGACATATGTCCATATTCATTAGCCTAGTTGATGGAGAAAAAGATCAACACCATTTCATTTATAGCTTAGGGGGTGTCACGGTGGCTAAGTGGGTAAGACGCAGGCTCGCTAACCTGGAGGTCTGGTGTTCGATCTCTGCATTGGTCGAGAAAGTTTTCCAGATTTTTCGGCGTGGTTCCCCCTTGTTAGTGATGGCCTCACAAGGACAGCTGTCTAGATGTTCAGATGGGATGAAAAACCGAGGTCCTATGTACACATTGACGTGCACATTAAAGATCCTTCGACAGTTGGAATTCAATATAAGAGTAGGACATAGTGTCGGTACCCGGGCAAAATTTCTAATATAGCACACTGTATGGCGTATGCCTGTCTTCATTAGCCCAGTCGGAGATGAACAGTAGGATGTTAAGCCCCATTTCATTTGATTTCAACTCCTGTTAATTTTTATATTGTGTTACTATTGATTTTCAGCGATTTTCGATAATTACTGCCAGAGTTATGGCCCTTGATCACTTCAAAAAATCTTGTTACATTTTGTTAGTGGACAACTCTTGTTATTTCTTTCATTTTGTTGGTGACTTATTCTTGTTGACCAATTCTTGTTAATTCTTTCATTTTTTTGGTGACCAACTCTTGTTAATTCTTACATTTTGTTAGTGACCAACTCCTGGTTTTGTATTGTGTTAATGACCGGCTCCTGGTTTTGTATTGTGTTAGCGACCAACTCCTGTTAATTTTGTATTTATAGGTGTTAAGAGTGTAACAAGTATTTATAATTATTATAAGAAATATGACTATAAGACAGTTGTAATGGGTGCATCATTCCGAAACACAGGTCAGATTACTGGATTGGCTGGTTGCGATCTTCTCACCATATCGTAAGTTGGTAACAAATTTTATATTTACTCACATGTCCTAGTCAACTGACATGGTTACGATTCCCTAGTTGTATGTGACTAGGAGTATGGGTTTTCTCCGGGTCCTCCGGTTTCCTCCAACTACTGAAGACCAATATGCGCACGCCAATTATTGAAATAAAATTAAACCATATGTTAGTCCCAAAATAACCTAGCCTGTGTCAAGTGTACGTTAAACCCCATTTCTCTCTCTCTTGTGTCAAGTGGACATTAAACCCCATTTCACTCTCTCTCTCTCTCTCTCTCTCAAACATAATGTAGATGTTCATTAGGTGAATGTCTTTGAATGAGTTTGGTGATGATTGTTTTCTGCTAAGAAAAAGCTAAGATGCTTTTAAATTTGCAATGTCGCTTATGATTGGTTTAATTGATTATTTTCTTAATTTTCAGGCCAGGTTTATTAGATCAACTGTCGAAATCCACTGATACGTTAAAAACACAGCTAGATGTTGAAGCTGGTACGTAGAATACAACTTTCTCGGTCCATATTAAGTCAAGAGATCAGGGACCATAATCTTTTTAGGATTTCTAACAAATAATGGTGCCAAGTCAAACGTCTATGTCATTTTTTGTCTCCCAGGTTACGTGTGCAAGTAGAACAAACCTTCCCCCAGGTTAAATCATGCCTTTAGAACACACTTTCCCCAGGATAAGTCTGACAGAAAAACTTCCCCCAGGTTAAGTCTGAAAGAAAAACTTCCCCCAGGTTAAGTCTAACAGTAGAACAAACTTCACCCAGGTTAAGTCTGACAAAACAAACTAACCCTAGGTTAAGTCTGGCAGTAGAACAAACTTCACCCAGGTTAGGTCTGGCAGTAGAACAAACTTCCCCCAAGTTAAGTCTGACTGTAGAACAAACTTCCCCCAGGTTAAGTCTAACAGTAGAACAAACTTTCCCCAGGTTAAGTCTGACAGAAAAACTTCACCCAGGTTAAGTCTAACAGTAGTACAAACTTCACCCAGGTTAAGTCTGACAAAACAAACTAATCCCAGGTTAAGTCTGGCAATAGAACAAAACCTCATTTCATTTCTTTTTGTTTATTATAAAAGATTGTCTTTATCCATTTTCAGCTAAAGGACTGGATATCCCTAAAGTCACCGTTGATGAAAATACATTCAGATGGCAAATGAATGAAGATGCTATGGCAACAGAAAAGTTAGCAGAGGGTATTCGTAAATTTGGAATTGATGCTGTCAAACTTGAAAATCTTCTGCGTGAAAGATTACTGAATTAGAATGTCTCTAATTATCTCCCTTGCTTTCTATAACAAGATGACTCAGCATTTAATGAAAAAAATGAAGAAATATGTTTATTTTAATATATTAATAAAAATATAATTTAATACGAATAATATCTATGGTGATCATTTTAATGTTGTTACGTATATTTTGTTGATAAGGTCGTATATTTGTTTGTTTTTGTGAAATCGTGGGTCTCTTTCTTTTTTTGTTATTGTTAATGATATTTCAAATTATGCAAAGTCATTAAGAAAATGAAATGAAATGGGGTTTAACATCCTACTCGGTTAATGAAGACGGCCATACACCACACAGTGTGCTATGAGGGAAATTCTGCCTTAACAGCGCCACTACAGCCTGCTCTCTAATGAACAGGAAATGGAAGTGCCAATGTCCGAGAAAGTATTTTCCCCTTGTATTTCACACATAACCATTCAAATTAAAATTGAAAATTAACTACAGCAATAATTTTTTCCATGAAAGAGGATTTTTTTACATAAAATGTTTTTTTTGTTATTTTCTGCTGATAATAAATGACAAAATAAACAAAAATAATGTCAATTTTTCTGTTGCTTATTGTAAGTGGAGTTTGTTTTTCTTCTTTTAAGTGCTGGGGGGGGGGGGGGCGGCGAATGGGTAGAATGTGCGCGCTGTATCATAAGGTCTGTCATTGAGTCAGTTGGGGTGGTTTCGATTCCCTGGTTGTACATGACAAGGAGTAGGGTCATCTGTCCAACCTTGTGGGTTTTCTCTGGGTCTTCCGATTTCCTCCCATTGCTAAAGACCCTTACACGCAAGCAAATTATTGAAATAAAATTGAACCATGTGTTAGTCCCGAAATGACTGGTTTCTGACATTTTGAGTGGATGGAGTAGAAGTAGTAGGACTGAAATGAAATGGGGTACATGCATAATGTCCTACTCCACTGGACTAATGAAGACACGATTACACCATACAGTGTGCTACAAGGGAAATTCTGCTTGGACAGCGGTGCAATGACGTACACAGGAGCGTGGTTTTTCTATCCCATTGGAACGACTATACATTGTCCTTTGCGAGGCCCCCTGTCCTGCACCACTTAAGTTGGGGAACTATAAACTTTCTCAGCCATCACTGGGAATGGAACACGGGACCTCCAGGTTAGCATGCCAATGTCTTAACTCAATGAGCCAATGCAGCTGCTTAAAATAAAATGGTCTAAAGACGGACATCGCAGTGAGCTATAAGAGAATTTTGGTGTGTCTCTTATTTATGTTTCAAACCATGAGGGGATCTAACATGCTGTCATCCAAATGACTCGATGTTTTTCTTTCATATGCTGCCATTACAATGATTAGACATTTTCCTTGCCAGCTTGGTTTTCCCCCCTTACCACTGATAAGGGGAAACCTAACTGGAAAATCTTAAGGAAATCATATGACTATAAAAGGGGAGGTCCCAGTTTTTACTCAGTTACCAAACAAATAGTTTGTAGAAATTTGCAAAGAACCAGTGAGAGGGATTGGGTTTAACATGCATTCGTCACAAACTAGATCATTTTTGGACTCACATATGATACATTTATATTTCAATAATTTGCTTGTCCATAGAGGATCTTTAGCCGTTGTGGAAAACCTACAAGGTTTGTCAGACGACCTTATTCCTTGTCAATTACAAGTGTGGATATAAACATCCCAAAACACGCCCCTGAAATCCATAGAAATGAAATGAAATGGGGTTTAACGTCCTACTGTTCTGTCCGAACTGGGCTTATGAAGACGGGCATACGCCATACAGTGTGCTTTGAGGGACATTTTGCCCCGACAGCGGCACTACGGCCTACTCTTATATAGAATTCCAACTGTCAAGGGATCTTTTACGTGCATGCCAATGTGTACATGGGACCTTGTGTTTCATCCCATCTGAACGACTAGACACCTGTCCTTGTCAGACCCTTTGTCCTGCATCACTGACAAGGGGGAACCACGCCAGAAAATCTGGATGAACTTTCATGACCAATGCAGGGATGAACACCCGACTTCCAGGTTAGCGAGCCAGCGTCTTACCCACTTAGCCACCGTGACCGCTCCGAAAACCATAGAGTAGCCACAACTAAATAAGTACAACAGTACTAGAACCATTCTCCTTTTTTTTCAAACAAAAAAAAACAATTTCAATAAGTTTATTTCATGAAAGAAAAAAAAACAACATAATATGATAATATGTATTTAATAAAAGTATAAAAGATAATTTTAATTTCAGTCCAGGATTCTTCTTTGTGACCAGTATTGCTAGTAATGAAGCTCTATACCTTGTCTCTTCTAAGCCTGTACTTCAATTTTCATAAAATAATTTCATTTTGCAGAATGATCATTTGAGATTTTAATATTGTAGAGATTGTCTTAACATTCACAGAAAGTTCATCATCGTGGCTAACATACAATAAATAGTACACCATATACCGATCATCCCTGACACTAACTAGATTTATCCCACATTCCACTGAAAGAAAGAAATAAAATAGGATAAATTAAAGATACATTATGTAAGATTTAGATAAAGAGCTGGCGGTTCTGGCTATCATAGTTCAAAAATAGATAATGCAAAATAAATAAATCGAAAATTTTATTCAAATGACTGTATTCTGAGCCAAGTTATCAATGTTTGTAGTTTTGACCAGAGATGGAAACAAGTCACGGGAGTCTTGAGTCGAGTCCAAAGTTGCTGCACCTCGAGTAAGAGTCCAGTCCCCAAGTCACTGACTTGAGTGTCGACTAAGTCCCAAGTCTACACAATGCCCAAGTCCGGTTCAAGTCGCCAGTTCATTAAATAGTCAGCAATTCATGGTGAATAAGGTAATTAAGAGTTATGCCCCCTGCCACGACTTGATTTCTAAGCTCTTTCAAGTCACCAGTTATCAAGTCACAAGTCGGGTCATTGGTGTAACTTAAAGATACATTATGGGAGATTCGATAACGAATTGGCAGTTCTCACTATAATAATTAAAAACTAGATAACGTAAAGGCAATTTGCTGAAAATTTCATTCAAATTGATCCACTATGAACCGAGAACTAAGCGAATGAAATTTCTGCCTATCCTCGGTCATCATTACTAAAGTCAGTACGATAAATGTCATAGTCTCGATTATCCATTTAATTGTTTAATCGAGAAGGAAAGTTATGCAGTAAATCGGCTCACAATCCACTTAAGATCGCAGGCTAGCGATGCCATCTAGAGTTGATTATGGTCTGGATAAGTTAATTAATGTCTAATTAATAATTTAGATAACATTTCAGGCCTAAAGAAAGACCTGCAATAGGCAGATTTAGCTCTTGCATAATGTATTAGGCAGATTTAGCTCTTGCATAATGTATGTTTAAGTCACATTGATTTTTTATTATCATTTGTTATCGTTTTGTTTAATCTCTCTTCTCCATTTTTAAATTATATCATTAAATGGCCGAATCGTTCTAATTGAGTTAAATACTGAAGCATGTGATGGCATCAAGGGTTGATTATAGTCTTGTTATGTTTATAAATGTTTAATTAATAATTTATATAACACTTAAGGCAGATTTAGCTTTTGCATAATGCATGTTTAATACATGAAATGAAATTTGGGTATAAGGCTCAGTGTGTATGTATGCCTACATGATGGCATTATGTATTGTCAACTGTCAAATTTCTTTAACAGGAACCTGGCAAACCCCCTTCTGCAAAAATTCCCGGATCCGCCCCTGTAGTGAGCTAGCACCTGACTCACTGAGTCACCGTGGTTCCCTGTATAGATGTATGAATAATTAAAGAGATGTTCACCTTTAACCCCTCTCCACCACCTCCACTACGTTCCTGTAGTGCTGCCTCGGTTTCAAGCTTTTCTCTTTCTTGTTGTTTACGTTTCAAAGCTTCTGGATTCTTCACTCCTCGACCTTCCTCGGCTTTCACCCTTTTTTCCGCAGCAGCAGCCTGTTGTCGCCTTCTTTCTTCCTAAAAACAATTTTAAAAACAAGAATAAGAGAGAGAGAGAGAGAAATGGGGTTTAACGTCCACTCAACATAAACTAGGTTGTTTCAGGACTAACATATGGTTCAATTTTATTTCAATAATTCGCTTGTGCATAGGGGTCTTTAGCAGTGGGAGGAAACCGGAAGGACCCGGAGAAAACCTACGAGTTTGGACAGACGACCCTACTCCTTGTCACGTACAACCAGGGAATCGAAACCCTGCCAGTTGACTCAATGACAGACCTTATGATACAGCGCGCACGTGCTAACTATTCGGCCATCCAACCCCCCAAAAAGAGAATAAAGGAGGTTATACATCATGTCTGGCAATAAAGCACCTGGTGAAGATTTCGAATAAAAATTATTATTATTATTATGTCACAGATGTAATCTGGTTTTGAGTGGCACAAGTTAGTGTGCCACATACATCTGTCAAATTTAGTGTAACACTGTATGCTAATATCTTTTAATAAAACAGTAAATACATGTCTAAACCCATAATTAGGTGTGTAATCACCCAATATCTCACAGTCCATATACCTCTACTACCTAAACTTTATAACACACAATATCTCACAAGTCAAAAATATCTACTACCCATATAGTCAACTGTATAATACACAATATCTCACAGTAAACATACCAACTATAGCATAATACATAATATTTCACAGTCTGTATGCCCATAAAGTCAACTGTACAATACACAATATCTCACAGTCCATACACCTACTACCCATAATACACAATATCTCACAGTCAATATACCAACTACCCATAAAGTCAACTGTATGATACACAATATCTCACAGTCCATACTGTAGAATACACAATATCTCACAGTAAATACATCTATACTGTATAATACACAATATCTCACAGTAAATACATCTATACTGTAGAATATACAATATCTCACAGTAAATCTACCTATACCGTAGAATATACAATATCGTACAGTAAATATACTGTATAATACACAAATACAATATGCCTATACTGTATTGTATAATACATAATATCGCACAGTAAATATACATCATTATTATACTTTATAAAATTGATACAGATCTTCTGTTACTATTCGAATGATTCTGTTTTATGCATAAACAAATACTTAGCTGGCTTTAGGAAATAATATAATAATATATAGTGATTCATTATAGTGGTCCAATGGGCAGATTTGGATTAATGGCTCAATACCACGTACTCTTGTTGTAACTGAATAATATATCCCAATCTTTATTCTGGTCAACAAATTGTACTATTTTACAATATTCCAATTAATTGATGATACAAATTTCATCTTAACACACCTAATTTAAAAAAATGGAAAAATTCAACTAAATGATTTGAAAAGCCTGACGTAAAGCTTTTCAAATGTGACTTGGATTTAAAAATATTTTTGAACCCTCTGGACAAGTAAAATAGGATTTAATCTATAATTTACACAACAGGTAGGACACTAACACATCTAGTACTTAGAATAAGGCTATTTTTTTATTTTCTGCAGCTGTCAAGCCAGCAAGAGTGTTATTGTCCCTTTAAGACCAACAGAGGCCCTAAGCATATAAAAGATTTTTGTGTCCCATATATGTACATGTAATTCAAAATATAAACCAATAAACCACAAACAAACACCAAGCATGTGATTAAAGTTTTTCTGGGATTTTATACACATTAATTATTGATATTAATTGCCACAAAACAGGTAACAGTATAAAAAGATAAAAGATTGAAAGTTCTTAAATATTTTAAATTTGACATCTAACACAGCAGACATTCTGTGGTGCACCGTCCCCTTTACCACGACGCCCTATAAGCACAAGCTTTTAATCCAGCACTGTCCAGCGACAGCGGTGACTAACCTATGACAGAATTAATTAAGTGCCACATATTTGACCGTTCATGATTTACATCACCATTGACAAAGTGAGATTTTATCAAATTCAAGGTCAGTATTTACCGGATCAGGCTGTTCAAGGTCTTCTTCGGGTCCATTTAAACAAGGCAAACACAACCCCATATTTTATAACCACACCTGTTAACACAGGGTGACAGTTCCTTTATTCTTCTTCCAGCAAGATTGAAGACCAGTCTTGTTGCTTTTGGTTCTAGTTTTACTTTAGCGTTACTCAAGGTCATGGTCGTTTACCATTCGAAACTATTCCGGGTTTTTTTTTGTATATCGTGATAGTTTCTAGCGTTACACGAAACCTTTGACCAGAATATTCGAAAATTAAATGAAATGAAATGGGCTTTAATGTCCTAATTTTCAGCACTAATTTTCTGGGCTAATCTAGACGGACATACGCCATACAGTGTGCTGTGAGAAATTTTATCCGATTTGGCCGAGAAAGTTCGTCGGTATTTTCGACGCGTGGTTGACCCTTTATTCCCTTTTCACTGTTGATACAAGGGTCCAAGTGACATTTTCAGTCAGAAGCTCCATTAAAGCTTAGTCAAGTCGTGGTTGTTCGTTACGAACCTTCATTAACGATCGAACGCTGAGTCTCAATTTGTTGAACTTTCCAGGGTAGGGTTTTTAAACAGAGTTATCTCCCTTCACGAACAAATCCTTTCAACGCGGAAAGCATAGCGTACAACTTTTGTTTCCGGGGTTAATCCTATCGCCTATCCTATCGCATGTAATTTTTATTCGATTGAGAGCTTGCCATATTCAAGCTCCGTGGGCCAATGTTCTACGTTTTGATTGCAAGGAACAGTGCGGCGTCTAGTCATTCGGATGGAACAAAAAATCGAGGTCCCATGTACACATTCGTTTGCACTTAAAAGAACTCTTGGACAGTTGGCCGTAGCGACACTGTCCAGGCAAAATTATCCTCGTACGTAGGACACTGAATGACGTTTTCTCGTCTGCATTATCCCGGGTGGAGCAGAAATCCCATTTCCTTTTTGATCGATGCTAAGATTGTGGGAGGGGGGGGGGCCTCCCTTCAGGGAAATCCTGGTGCCACCATCGCTACCTTAACCAAATTCACCGCACACACTACAGCTGATGTGGATTGTCCAACCCCGTGGGTTTTCTATGAGCCCTCCGGTTTCCTTCCACTGCTAAAGACATCTACCCTCAGGCGATTATTGAAATAAAATTGAACCATATGTTAGTCCCGAAATGTCGAAATGACCTAGTTTGTGTCGAGTGGACGTTAAACCCCATTTCTCTCTCTGATGTTGATTGTTGTCATTCTGATACGATTTTCCATTTTTTTTTGGTTTTCATTTGTGAACTGCAGACCTTATCATCTGAAAAAGCGCACGCGTTATACCCCCAGCAACTCTTGATGAATAAATCTATTATATCAATTTATTTGAGCCCATTTACGTTTATTTTAAAGAAATTGGTCAATTTGGGATCAATTACATATCATTTTGTAGTAATGACCACAAATGACTCGATTTCTTGTACGCACCCAAGCACGGGAATCTTATTGTTTAAAGTGAATTTTGAAATATTGCGCCAAATATTATCCTACTCATTTGCGTAATTAATTAATGAAGGGTGATAGCGCGGGAAAGATAAAAGGACAGAAAATCGAGATGTTTTTAATACCAAATAACTGAATTTTGTGACACGTGCTGTATCATTATTTCATATAAGAACGTAAAGGTACAAAATGGAGTCATGGAGAACAAAATATTCGGGTGAAAATCTGCTTATTTTGAAATTTTAAATAGCGATCCGATAATCTCAATGATAGCCTTTCTAATCATACACGGTTTATCGATTTCTTGCTTGGCGTTCTGATTGGTCAAATCTAACAAGAAGCCAACGAGGCGTTTCATATACCTGGCTGTTCCGTTATGGCTACTTTTAAAATTAAATTAACAAAGGGTGATAATTAAAAGTGACGCTCGGCCCTTTGTTTCATTCGCACCTCCTTAACACTACAAAAATCAGGGATAGACGCGGAATCTTTATACACGCTATACACGGGACATGTGGAATATTCGCGCGTGCCTCCCGAGAAACACGGTAAATCAGTGCTTAACAGAGGGAGTGAGTTTATTTACTATAACGGTAGATACCTGTACAACACTGTCAAACGCGTGTGTGTGTGTGTTTGTGAATGATCATGGAGTAATAAGCGGTTAACCCGAGGGTTCAAAGTTTCCCGGTTTTTTACTGGAATATTTTAGCAGAAACATGTGAGAATAGTGAAATTAAGGAATTATGCCACTTGGGATGCGAATTGTTGAGCCTTTTCGGCTCGGTAGAAAACCTTTACGACCCGAGGAGAGGGACGAGGGGCCGAATGCCGAAAGGGCTGTCATTCATAATGCGGTATTAGGGGCTATGTTACAACTAGCCAGTTTAATTCGACATGCAGATGATATATTTTGTGATTTAGCAGAAGAGTGTCAGAAAATTTGTGAAAAATCCGAAAAAATCTCAAGGAAAGTTGCACATATAGAAGACCTAACTCGAAAATTAGACTCGAAGAAAGTTCAAATCCGTAAGTTAAAATTTTTCACTCTATAGCTGGGTCTTGTTTACTTTTGAAATGTTTACTTGGCGTTCCCAAACCTTGGTTGAAGATTATTTCAATAAACCCCAGTTCAATGTATGCCAAGTATTTTGCTTGCTTTACAGTTTGATCCAGTGAAAGGGAAATTTGAAGCACAAATTAGTACAGCGAGTCTCCCCCTACACTTAAAATCACTGTGTCGAAAATACATTGTAGCGAACTTTTCGATCAGATTTATTTGTATCTTGAATTGATAGGTAGGCCTGCTGTTTATCAATAAGACATGGTCTTTATTGTTTTCCTACCATGGGTGCCTATTTATTTTTTTTATACAGAAGACAATGTACCCATTTTAAAAATTAATAGGTACATTTCTGGGCTGTTACATTTCCTTCCTACCAATTAATTGTACGTATATAATTTGATTAATTCCATTAAAAACAGGAATTCTTTTATAAATCTGGATATGATTTATTTCGGCAACAAAAGCATACATGTAACAAGAATTTCAATGTAATGTTTGGTTATAATATCACAATGATTTTCCCCATCTCTCCCCCCCCCCCCCACTCCCCCTCCCCCTCCCCCTCCACTCCACTCCACTCATATATAAAATGTATCACTGCATCGATCAACATTGGAAATCACAATTATCTTTGTCATGATTAGTTATAATCTGTACTGAAAAACAACCAAAGTCTAGATTCAAACTTTTTTTTAAAATTGGAATTATTATTATGTTATAGTTTTAGTGTTGATACAACCCAAACTTATTTTCATTCTTTAGCAAATTTCCTTGAAAATTTCTTATACATGTACTTCTAGAATAATACCCCTGTCAACATTTTGACTAAGTTTTTTTCTTAGGGGAATTATTATTTTATGATATTTTTAGGGTAAGATATTTAATATAACCCAAAATTAATTTCATTCCTTAGAAAATATCTTATACATGTACCTTTAGAATAATACTCCTGTCAACAATTTGACAGACAAGGTTTTTTAACGGGAATTATATGATATTTTTAGTGTAATACCGTTACCCAAAACTAATTTCATTCCTAAAAAAATATGTTGAAAAACTTTGTGTACTTGTAGAGTAACTACTCATGTCAACATTTTGACAGACAAGTTACGAAATAATCCTAGAAGTAAAAACTGACAATTAATTTCTAAATATAATCTTTAACTTGTCAAGCTGCCGTAATGAAAATTGTCATTGTGTAATATTTTTAGCCACACAGTTTCACTCAAGCCTGAAGAGTTCACAAATAAGAACGAAACTAGTAGCTTTAATGAGAGAAATCTGGGACGGCTACCCTCCACTTAAACATACATTATGCAAGAGCTATTTCTGCCTATTGCAGGTCTTTCTTTAGGCCTGAAATGTTATCTAAATTATTAATTAGACATTAATTGACTTATCCATACCTTAATCAACCTTCGATGTCATCGCTAGACTGCGTTATTTACTGGATTTGAATCCGGTCTGCTGCTCAATGCTCATTGATGATTAAATCCAAAATTGGATAATCGAGACTTTGTTTTTTATCGGACCGATTTTAGTAATTACGATCAAGGCTACGTCTAAAATTCAATTGCTAAATTCTTGGTTCAGAGTGGATCTGTTTGACTTAAATTTTCAGCAAATTCCCTATACATTATCTAGTTTTTAATTCTTATAATGAGAACTGCCAGCTCTTTATCTAATCTCTCATAATGCCACTTTAAATAGATTTCCAATTGTAATACATGTATATTTAATTTAACCCAAAACTAATTTCATTCCTGAAAGAATTCAGAGACAGAAAAGTTCTTGTACTTCTGTCAACATTTTGACGGACAAGTTACAAAAAAATCCTAACAATGAATTACTAAATATAATCTTTAACTTGTCAAGCTGCTGTGATGGAAATTATCATTATGTAATATTTTAGCGTAATATATTTAATTTAACCCAAGAGTAATTTCATTCCTTTAAAATTCCCTGAAACTTTCTTGAACTTCTTGAATTACTAAATATAATCTTTAACTTGTCAAGCTGCTGTGATGGGAATGATCATTATGTAATATTTTAGCGTAATATATTTAATTTAAACCCAAAATTAATTTCATTCCTTAAAAAATTCCCTGAAAATTTCTTGTACTTCTATCAACACGACAGGTTACGAAATAATCCTGACAATTAATTTCTAAGTGAAATCTTCAGCTTGTCAAACTGCTGTAACTACTGTCCACCCAAATATTTACCTGTTTGGATGTGGAGGAAAGTTAATCTAACATGGTGTTAGGCCAAAGCAATTTATTTCTTAGTTCACCAGGGCTCCTGATAAATAAAAAGTCACTCGATTCTCGTAAAAAATTATTTCTTTTGAATTTCGAAACTTGAAAATGTGGAACTAAGAGCTGTTGAGAATGGTTTTTAAATTATAATTTTTTCCCCCCAAAATAGAGGACATTGAATTTTAATAAATGTTCCTGAAGAACAACAGTTGAAATTGATGTGGCCTTAATGTGACATTAGTGGGGGATAGGGCCCTATATTTATGATCACCCATTACATAATACCTGGTTAATATATTACAACATTGTATAACATTGTATAAGTTTATTAAATATACCACACTTTGATAATATACAGTATACAGAAGATGATTTACAATACATCAGAGTCAAGCGATTATTTAATTGTAAATGGTAATAATCTCTTTGATGCTACCATATTATGTACTTACAGTGACAGTGATTAGTGCTAAATGACAAGGCCAGCTCAATTTTTCGTCATAGGTCACGAGATTTAAACAGGGCTAGCGCTAATCCCAAACTTAACCCTGGACCTAGTCCTAATGCTTACCAACCCTAACTTACAGTCTCGCCAACAATCACATGCCCAAAGCTTATTTACATCTTAGCGACCGTGACAAAAATTGAGCTGGCCTTAACAAATAGATTTAGCCCTAATTTAGCTTGGAAATAAGGGCAATAAGTCCATTTCATTTCTGGAGCGCTTGTTGCACATGTACATGTATGTATTGTTGAGCAGTTGTCCATTATTGTCTTGGGTGCCACGTGGGTAAGATGTTGGGTTGCTATCCTGGAGGTCCCTTGTTTGAACCTTGCGTTGGCCAGATTGTTCATCAGGATTTTCTAGCGTGGTTCCAACTAGTCAGTGGTGTAGGATGGAGGGCCTGGCAAAGGACAAGTAATATAGTCATTCGGATGGGACGAAAAACTGAGGTCTGGTGTACACATTGACAGCTGGAATTCGAAATAAGAATAGGCCATACCGCTGCTGTCTGGGCAATATTTCCCTCTTAGCACACTGCCCGTCTTCATTAGCCCAATATGAACAGAACAGTAGGATGTTAAACCCCATTTCATTTCATTTCATTATTGTCTTGATTCATTTTGTTCATTAGTTGAGATTGCACAAGATTGTATAATATTATATAAAGTTATATATCTCTTCCAGCTCCACTTACATTTCTTCAGACAACATCTTTAGTTCTCTTTCAACAAATCTCTTCACTTCAATGAAATTCTAAGCATCAAATATTTGTTTGGCCTATTTATACAAAAGGTGAAACTTTCACACCGATTTCTTTCAATTTAACAAAAGTTAAAACGACTAGCTGCTGGCTATGTAACAGTTCTAAACAATTGGATTTTAATATGAACATGTACATTAAGACCTTCACGCTACATTTGTTTAAACCGAAAGCCGTTCTTTTACTTTCAAAGGATTGTACTTGTTAGCTGTGTTATGTGAAGATCAAAATGATACAATTGGTTTATTATTAAAAGTCTTTCATCTTTTTTGGAGATAGTTTTTTTTTGGAGAAATTGTTTGTGATATTGATGTTTTCTTTATCTGAAAATGTGATTACAGGTATACGGTGTATTTAGATACATTCTTACATGTACTTTAAAGTTGTAAAAGTTCACCTTTTGGAGCACACTTACGTGTAAATAATTACCGTCGGACACACTCATATTCTTTTTGCCTATATTCAACACAGACAAAAATTGTTTGTAGACAACAAAAAAGATTCACATACAGTTTCAAAAGAAGAGAGAGAGAGAAAGAGAGAGAGAGAGAGAAATGGGGTTTAATATATAACCACTCAACACAAACTAGGTCATTTCGGGACTAACATATGGTTCAATTTTATTTCAATAATTCGCTTGCGCATAGGGGTCTTTAGCAGTGGGAGGAAACCAAAGGACCCAGAGAAGACCCACGAGGTTGGACAGGCGACCTTACTCCTCGTCACTTTTAATACAACTGGTGTATTGAAAGTTGGTGTGCACGTAAAAGAACCCTTGAAAGTTGCAATTCATCCCACATATCATACTTTGTGGGGGCATATGCCCGTCACATGTCTTCATTACCCCTGGTTGGTGCAGAATAGTAGGACGCTAAGTCGCATTTCATTTCGAAAAACATTGGGTTAGGTTAAGTTTACATGCATGGTTTCCCCCTTCTCAGTGCTGCAGGATGGGACGAAAAACCGAGGTCCCGTGTACACATTGGCGTGCACATAAAAGATCCCTTGGCAGTTGGAATTCGATATAAGAGTAGGCCGTAGCGCTGCTGTCCGGGCAAAATTTCCCTCATAGCTCACTGTATGGCGTATGCCCGTCTTCAATTAGCCCGGGTTAGGTGCAGAAGCGTAGGACGTTAAACCCCATTTCATTTCATTTCCCCTTCTCAGTGCTGCGGGACGGAGGGCCTGACAAGGACAGGTGTCTGGTCATTTGGATGGGACAAAAAACCAAGGTCTCATGTGCATACTGACATGCACATAAAAGATCCCTTGACAGTTAGAATTCGATATAAGGGTAGGCAATAGCGCCGCTGTCTGGGCCAAAATTACCTGTATGGTGAGTCAGAGCAGAACAGTATGACATTAAACCCCATTTCATTTTTTTTCGCAAACACTGGGTTGGGTTAAGGTTAAACATGCAGTTAAAATTTGTCCGATTCT